CTGCCAGGAGCCACAGTCGAGTCCGCGGCTCGGGGACAACCTCTGCTTTACTCCCAAGCGCTGGGAAAGTTAGCAGGCGAGCCGCTCCGCTCTGTCTCCCTCCCCCGGCCGCCGAGGCGCAGCTCGCCCCGGAGCTCCCTCCACGTTTCTGCAGCCGGGTGCAGGACGCAGACTTTCCCCCACCCGCAGCAGCATCTGGTAGCTTCTGCGTGTGTATGGAGAGGGTCTTCTATTTTTTTTTCCCCCTCTCTGCAAAGGGGAAACCCTTTGTCCCTCTCGGCAGGGATGTAAAACAGCGAGCCTCCCCTTCCACTCCCAGCCGCGCCGGAGGACGCGAGCCACGCGTGTCCCCGCAGCCCCCATACCGGGGGGTCCCCGAGCCCCCTACTCCCCCTTTCCCCTTTTCCCGGGGAGCCCCCGAGCGCAGCCCCGCCTGGGAGCAGCCCGGGACCCCGCAGCCCCAAAGAGCCGCGGCCCCAAAAAGTTGGGCGCCGGGCGCGGGGCAGGGGCGCAGGCGGGGAGAGGGGACCCCGCGGCGAGCCCGCCCGGCCCCCCCCACACCCCAAAACCCCGTCCCGCACCCACCGCCGGTCTGCCCACGGCCACGGCCATCGCTGCGCTCCCCGGCCCTCCTCCTGGCTGCCTGCTAGGGCTGCAACATGGCCACCCGGCGGGGAGGGCCCATGCGCAATGCGAAGGGGCCGGGCGGCGAGGCGGGCCCCCCCCGGCCCTCCCCCGGGGCCGGCCGCTGCCACCCCCCGAGGGGCTGCGGCCACCCCCGGGTAGGGGATCCCGGCCCCTTCGCCCCCTTTTTCCTAACCCCAGCGCGGCGGGGAGGCGCTGGAGGCAGAGCCCCCCATGCTCCGGGGACCCCCGCCAGGAGGTGGCCGAGCAGGGGACCGCCCGGGTGCCCCCGCTGCCCCCCGGGGTAGGGGCCGGGACGCTGCTGGAGGTGGTTTTGCCAAGGCACGAAACCCCAAAAGGCAGAAGCCTGATTCTCTGTGCACGCAAAGGGTGTTACAGCCCTACCCGCTGAAGGGAGCATCCGAAGAGCTGAGGCAAAAAGACAAAAGGATAAAAGCTGAAAGCAGCTCCCGCGAGTAGACCAGCAGCCAGCAAACGGGCCCTGGTATTCGTGCAGCCTCTAACCTAAAGGCTTTGCCTTGGCACTCCAAAAGTCATCCCCGGACTGCCACAAAGAAGCACAAGGCTGTTTGCAGAGGCTATGGAGTCCAAGAGTTCCCATCCCTCAGCTCTTCTGACCATGTTTTGAAGGATGCAGAGAAGTGATCGTCCCCCTGTACTCGGCTTTGGTGAGGCCGCACCTCGAGTACTGTGTTCAGTTTTGGGCCCCTCGCTACAAGAAGGACATCGAGGTGCTTGAGCGGGTCCAGAGAAGGGCGACGAAGCTGGTGAGGGGCCTGGAGAACAAGTCCTACGAGGAGCGGCTGAGGGAGCTGGGCTTGTTCAGCCTGGAGAAGAGGAGGCTCAGGGGCGACCTTATCGCTCTCTACAGATACCTTAAAGGAGGCGGTAGCGAGGTGGGGGTTGGCCTGTTCTCCCATGTGCCTGGTGACAGGACGAGGAGGAATGGGCTTAAGTTGCACCAGGGGAGGTTTAGGTTGGCTCTTAGGAAGAACTTCTTTACTGAAAGGGTTGTGAGGCACTGGAACAGGCTGCCCAGGGAAGTGGACCCTGGAGGTCTTTAAAAGACGTTTAGATGTAGAGCTTAGGGATATGGTTTAGTGGAGGACTGGTCAGTGTTAGGGCAGAGGTTGGACTCGGTGATCTTGGAGGTCTCTTCCAGCCTAGATGATGCTGTGGTATCTGAGCCTGGTCGTGCTGCCTCAAACTGCCCAGCAAAGGAAGGGGGTGCAGCACCACCACCCAGCTCCTCTCCCTCCTTCCCAGAGGGGGTCTGAGGATCTGCACCTGGGCACAGGCGTGCAGCCTCCGTTAGCAAACCTGCTGCACAAAAAGCTGGTGGGCTTTCTCCCAGTAACATGGGTGTGGGGAGCACAGCTGAATAACATTTATCCAGCTCATTTTAAGGAGGCTGCTCTGTTCATCTCATCATCTCACTCTTGTAGCAAGTTCCTCCTCCTGCATGCCAGGCTCCAGGAGAGGCACTGAGCACACCTGTGCTGGGACCAGTGCAGCCTCTAGTGGAAACCTGGTGGTGATTTCCAAAGAGCTGCCCTGGTTGCACCTGTGAGTGAGGTGCACAGCTTCCCCTCCTGTGAGTCAGTGGCTGGCACAACACTCCTCCATCAGCACCACGTAACTAACACAGAGATCTCCGCGTGTGCAGAAAGCCCTGATGTGGCTCACCACCGAGGCCGAGAGAGCTGTGGCCGAGTTTTCTTCCTGACACCTATGCATACAGACCTTCCTGAGCTGAATGAGTAGGAACTAAGCCCCATCAAGTCAAGGAAACATGCTGCAATCTCTCCAGATCTCTTCTAGCGCAGTTGCCTCGCATTCCTCGTGTTCAACTGGGAAGAAGCAGACCCTTCATTCCTACAAGCTTCATGGCTGCTGTTGACAAACGCGTCCCTGTGTGAAGGGAAATGCCAGCCTTTCATTCTAGAGACCCTGTGGGGACTGATTGAATTTTTCCGAAGCTCTTTTGCATCATTTTGCTGCGGCAGCATGTCATTGCTTTACTGACCTTTTATGTCAGCTGTGGGGCAATTTGTCAGATTACAGGGGATGAGAAAATACACAAGCAGACGCAGAGCTCAGGTTAACTTTCCTCCTGTTTAAAATCAACCGCAGGTACGTAGCTCCCTAACACCATCTCGTACAGCAGCAGGAGGCTGCAAGGCGGAGTGGTGAGCTTATAATTTTGAAATACTGCTTGAGCCTGCCCCCACTGTGTGATTAGCGCCACTCACAGCTTACTCAAATGTCACCTGAAGAGACCTGTTGTGTCCAGAGCCCTCAAAGAGGGCAAGAACGGGGTAAATTCAGTCTTTCTGAAGACTGTTGCCCACAACCAAAAGTGAGCGATTTACAGACAGCAAACTGCCACTGGATAAGGGAGACAAGAGCCTCTTTAGACCTCTGAGTGTGAAGCAGACAAAGAGACTGCAGGTAGCAGAGCTGCACATCTTGCTGGCATGCAGCATTACACCCCCTTAATCCCCAAATGGGATTTGCAGCCGAGGCTGTAAGGGCAGAAACGTGCCCCAGCCTCTGAATCAACACGAGCTACTCACTCAACACTTTTTTGCAGGGTGCCTCCCAAGGGTATCCGAGCTACCCGGGAAGCGCGGCGCTCCCAGCCAGGCGAGATGCGTTAGCGTAACCCACAGTCACTCGAACAAGCTCAGCGAGGTTTTTCCACCCATGCCAGCATTCAGCATTGGCCTCAGCCCTGCAGATACTCCAGCAGTCGCTTTGTGCTGCCTGAGCGTGTTCCTCTGCCTTCAAGAACACGGCTTGCAGGGCGAGAGCTGGCATTTCTCAAGAGAAAAACCTTCCAGTTCGCCGTCAGTGCCGGGCTTATGGTAAGTGAGGTAATACTTCCCAGTGGCGCTTAAGTGCAAATGCAATATCACGGAAAGCTGTAAAATGCCTCCTGCTTACATCTGAGTTCATCAAACCCAAACAGCATTTTCATAGTAATGCTGTTGTTTGCCACTGTTATTTACTTGGATTTTTTATCTCCACAATCTCTCCTCCTCTCTTGTTTGTGATCACAATTATATCATTATGCTCCACGCACTGCATCCCAACCGCTTCCGCTGAGGGTGTGCTGCCATCAAACACAGAGCTGTGAATGCAATTTAGAGCTCAGGAGGAGGAGAAAGGTGTTTATGCCTTGAAAAGCTGTACTAAAGGCATGTGCAGGATGTTAAAATATTAACTTTTCAGATACGGCAACCCCCTTCTCCTCAGACGAACGCTTCCGATGGGGTGTAACCACACTCTCCTTCTCCACACCGCAGTAAAAACCCAAAGCAAGATGTGGTGTAGCATAAAAGTGCAGTTCCTCTTGCTGCTGCCACCTAAGCAACCCACAGCTTGGCACGCTGCATGACTCTCCTGATACACTGCCGAAACTGTAACTTCTGCCCTGGAAACTTAAAAGTTTCTTTTGGGGCTACCCCCACCATTCCAGAGGTTACATTTTAGCAGTCGGGCAACTCCACAGTGTAATTTATCATGCAAACCAGCGTAGGTAATGTACTGTGGCAGAAACTAATCGTCCACAATCAGCACCTCCAAAGTGCAGACCTGTGCAGCTTATTTTCTGGAGAGCAAAACCACCGCACACATCCGCTCTCGCAACCTCAAATGTTATCCTAAGGTTTAGCGTTACCAAAGCACAGCTCGCAAGCCCACGCACAACATCTACTGCAATCTCTGCCTCTGGTTTGTGAAGGTTGCGTGCATGCTTCTGGGTTTGCAGTGGCTGTCCAGAGGACAGGCAGCTAAAAATATTTCTGGTCACCTGAGAGCCTGCCGTAGACTTCTGGAGCGTGACTGAGGGCCTGACCCAGGCTTCTTTAAAGCCAGAGAGTCTGTACTGAGCTCAGTCCCTCTGTGCCTCTATTCCTTGATTGCAAGACAGAAAGCAAATAAATAAATAAATAAATAAATAAAACACAGAAAAAAACTCTCTCGCACGCTTTCCTCCCACTGTCTGTGCCCCAAACTCCTTGGGACGTGGCTGGAGCTTGCCTGGTGCATACGGGGCACTGACCTTATCTGTGCTCCTCAGCTGTGATGTACACACGAGCGGTGATAGCATAAGAGACACAACCAAAATCAGATCCCTGGGTCCTGCCTGACCTCCCTCAGTGAACGTGGAGATGATACGAGACGCAACCTGACTTGAGACACTCGTGGGGCTTGTGTGCAGCTGTCATACAGGGGCACGATGCCCGGCAGGTGTGACAGCAGCCACCCTGACTCCCACCACATCCCGTTCATCCCCATTCACTGCCAGCTCTCACGAGCCACAGAGTCCCCCAAGGGGTGCAAGGTCCTCTGGCGGTGTCAGAGAGGCTCCCAGGGGGCTCTGAGGAGGGCAGGGGACGGAGACCACCCCCAGCTCAGCACCGAGACGGTTTTTCACTGAGTGCGGCCGGCTCAGTGCCCGGCTGCTCCTCTTCCTCGCCACCCCGGGCGAGGGCGATGGGGGCGGAGAGGCCCGGCGGGGCGGGAGGCGGGTTCCCCGGCCGGCCAGGGCTGCGGCAGCGGCAGCGCCCCGCCGAGCGGCGCCGAGCCCCGGGAGCCGAGCTGCGAGGATGGCTCGGGAGCTGAGCCAGGAGGCCGTGCTGGACTTCTTGTGGGGGGCCGGCGGGCGAGCCCCCAACGCGGCGCTGCTCCGCCACTTCCAGGCTTTCCTCCGCGACCCGGCGCTGACGGCCGAGCAGCGGGGCGAGCGCCGGGAGCGCTTCAAGCGCCTCGTCAACTCCGTGGCCACCGTGCGCCCCGCCGGCCCCGGCGCCTCCAAGGACATCGTCCTCCGCCGCAGGTACCGAGACCTCCTCGACGAGGAGCTGCCGCCGCCGGGGGAGCACCGGCCGCAGGAGGAGGAGGAACAGGAGGAGGAGGAGGAGGAGGAGAAGCAGCAGCGACCCCCGCCGCCCCCATGCCAGCCCGGCCCGTCGGGGAAGGCGCTGGAGAAGGGGCAGCACCCCCCGGGAGCCGTGTCGGGGGGCTGCGCCTCCCGGGGCCGCGGGGGGCTGTGCTGCGAGTGCCGCCGGGCGCTCCGCGATGCCGCCGCCCGGCCGCCCCCCTACCGGAGCCGCCCGCTGGCTTTGGGGTCGGGGACGCCGCTCTTCGTGTCCCCGCCGCCCTACCGGCCCCCGCAGCCGCCCCCCGCCGCTCCTGCCCGCTCCCCGGCCCTTCCCCGGGGGCTGCCGCCCTCTGGGGCAGCCCCCGCGGGGTCCCTGCCAGCGGCGGACCCCAAGGGACCGCCCCCTGCTCGGTCCCTGCCGCTGCCCCCTGGCCCCAGGCTGCCCCCATCCCAGTCCCCACCGCTGCCCGCTGCCCGCTTGCCCCATACCAAGGCCCCGCCACCATCGGCAGGCTCAGGGGTACGATCCCCTGCCGGGCCATCCCAGCCCCTGCTGCTGTCCCCAAGCCCCAGGGTGCCACCCCCCAGCAGGCCACCCCAAGCCCGGACCCCGCAGCCACCCCGCCGGGAGCCACCCCTGTCGCAGTCCCCGCTGTGTCGCTCAGCTCCGGGGACGCTGCCCCTGTCCCAGTCCCAGTCCCTGCAGACGCTCACTGCTGAGCGCTCCCCATCCCAGACCCCACTGCTTTCCCCGTGCCCAGATGCGTTACCCTCCACCCGGCTGCCCCAGTCCCAGTCCAGGTCCCTGCAGCACCTCCCCACCAGGCTGTCCCCATCCCCACCGCAGCCGGAGGGGCCCAAGGTGCCACCCAATGGACCAGCACGGTCCCGAGCCCCGCTGCTGCACACCCCCAGCCTGCCCTCACCCCTCACCCCGCCACCACCAGCCAGCCCCACGGTGCTGCCCCCCTGCTCCCAATCCCCCCCGCTGACCCCTACGGGGCCACCACAAGCCCCTGAGAGCGGCCCCGCAGCCCCGCTGCCTGTCTTCAGGAGCATCAGGTGCCAGCTGGCGTTGCTGGAGGTGCAGGGCGTCCCCCCATCGCTGCAGGACGACAGAGGGGGGCTGCCCCGCAGCCTGCCCTCCAAGAGCTCCCCCGTGCACGTCCCAAACCGGGGGCTGGTGGTGCCGCTGGGGCAGGCGGGAGCACTGCCTGGCTCGTGGCGGTGTCGGCGGGGCGCTGGGCCCAGGTGCGGGGGCTGTTCCTGGAGGAGCCGGAGCTGGCCCTGCAGCGGGACTTCGTGACAGGCTTCACGGTGCTGCACTGGCTGGCCAAGCATGGGGACGGGACGGGCCTGCAGGAGCTGGCGGGAGCGGCGCGCCAGGCCGGGCTGTCCCTGGACGTGGACGTGAGGTCGGGCTGCGGCTACACTCCGCTGCACCTGGCCGCCATACACGGCCACCAGCTCGTCATCAAGGTGCTGGTGCTGCAGCTGGGGTGCCAGGTGCAGGTGAGGGATGGCAGCGGGCGCCGGCCCTGGGAGTATCTGGGTGGCAACACCTCCGGCGAGATCTGGCAGCTCCTGCAGGCACCCCGGGGCACCATCATGTTCCCCACGCAGCCCCTGGCCCGCAGCGTGTCCTCCGTCAGCAAGGCCTCGCTGCCCGCCGGCAGGGCGACGCTGGCCGCCTGCCTGAAGCCGCAGCGCAGCCGCGGGGCAGCGTCCCACCGGGTCAGCAGCGAGAGCGACTGAGAAACAGCTCCCCAGCACCCCTGCCACTGGAGGCGCAGCCAGGGGAGGCCAGGTGGGCACAGGGAGCCGCGAAGCAGGCTGGTCCTCTGGAGGAATGTACTCTTAAATTATTGCAATGAAACGTTATCTGAGTCTCTCTGCTCTCCCTCCAATTTCTTGCTTTTCTACGAGTGAGAGGATGTGGCTCCTCGGCTGGAAACGTGTCTGAACCCGGGGAGGCAGCCCACGGGGCAGGCACCAGCTGCTGGGGGCACCGACAACCACCAGCGTTTGTGGGACTGTGGGTTTGGGGTCTCAGGCTCTGCTGTGATGCTCACAGCCTCCCAACCAGGTCAGAGTGTTCCAGGGACAGCTTGCTGCTAGTCCTGGGGCTTGCAAAACGCTTGCTTACGCCACTGAAATTCTGGGGAGTAGCTCTGGCTCCCTTTCTAACGCCGGCAGATTAAGGATGAGCCCCACCATTAAAAATGCGGTTGGTCTGGGTCTGGCCTCCCAGCAAGAGCCCTCACAGAGCGACTGTGGCAGAGGGCGGCAGCCAGAAAGCCGCGAGGGGAGGAGGGTGGTAACACACCCGCCCCGTTCCTCAGCCCTTCTCGCCCACCAGTCCCCGCAGAGAGGAATGCAGGGCAGCACCGCGGCCCCGCTCCTCCCCACGGCTGCCCCAAGCTGCCCAGCAGCACCGATACTTCCCCCGCTGTGTGTGCTGCTCCTCGCCCCGCAGGACGGGGAAGTGGTACCCGTGCTGTGGCTCCAGAGGCCCGTTCCCACACCTCGGGGTCACAGAGCATCACTTCAGGGATTTGGGTTGGACAGACAAGGAGCTGTGCCATGGTGTGGGCCCCAGGCTCGTGGGGTTAAGGAAGTGTTGCAGCCAGAGCTGTGTTTCTCCAGAGACCCCAGTCCTAAATTGCCTCAGAGGTGTTTTGGGGTTGAATGGGGGCCCAGGTGCAAGGAAGTGACATCCAGTACAGTCATTCAAACCACACATGGGCTTTAGGAATCCCACTGGATCAAGAGGAATAAGAGAATGACATGCAGGAGGTGGGACTGCTGATGTATTTGAGGTATGTGCCTAAATGCCTGCAGTTTCAGGGAGGAACAGGACCCGGGGCAGCAGAACCTGACCGTTGCATAACATGCGTGCTGGGGAATGCCTCGAGTCCGCGTTCAAGCCCTAATTGAGGTCTCCGCTCTGCTTGGGGTTTGAGGGAGGAACTCTTCCCTTGCAGAAGGGAAGCTCGTCTGTCTGTCTCTGTGGCCACAAAAGGTAGTGGCCTTTTTCCAGCCCAGTTTTCTCCTTTTTGCAAGGGAAAGAGCGAACTCAGCAAACCAAGGTAGCATCCTGTGAACAATCACTCCTTGCTCTGAGAAGAGTTCAATGCAAACTTGAGCTCACAAGAAATTCAGCTCTGACTCGACCTCTGAGCCACTGGCACGGGCACCTGAAGGGCTCCCCAGGACTCCTGCAGCAGGAGCCCTTGGTGCCTCCCTTCCTCTTACTTCCAGCTGGGGGCTGGAGCCTGGATTAACACAAATGTGCAAAGCAGCTGTTGCTTGCTCAAGTCTGTTCCACCACATTCAGAGCTGTTGCCACAATTCACGTCGCACACCAGGCTCCCTTGGGGAAGTGCTCTCTAAAGGCTTCCCTGAGCTTCAGCTAGAAGCCCTGAAAAGCAACCCGCTGGTGGGGGGTACCAGGCATGCCAGAGCCTTGGCATACAGAGAGCTTCAGGGAAGAAATACAAAAAGAAAGAAGTTTGTGGAGAGACTAGAGCTCGCTGAGGGCACAGGACACGTACATTGTGTGATCAGAAACAAGGCTCCTTCCCTGGAGTGGCCATTACCCCTCCTCTGTCTGGGGGAGAGCATACTTCTGCTCACAGACACCCAAAGCTTCTGAAGCAGCTGGTTTAGCCCCCTAATATCTCTGGCGTTTCTAAGACAAAGACTGAGCAGGACAATGTTACCTTGGGGTTCTCGTTTTACAGTCTTTCCATGACCTTTCTCCATGACGCAAATCTAAGTAACGCTTTTTTTTTTTTTTATTTTCCCTGCACACTGTTGCAGAGCTTGTCTGTCATCCTTTTAAGAGCAACTTTATCTCCCCAGCAGTACTTCAGGTCAACAGCCTAACAAAAACCTGGGAAGGCCCTTTGCGAACACTGCTCACCTGTAGGGATGACACAGACAAGCTGCATTCCCCAGTTTTTACATTATAAGGCAACCCGTAGGAAGCATAGAACTGCAGAAACCTTTCCCTGTGCACATTCACTCTTTTTCATCCTTAGACCACTGACGCTGGTAATATTGCACACCACACTGTTTTGTAAAGCACTCAGTCGCTGCTTGTGGGAATAACCAGCTGTTTACCCCTCAGAAAGCCTCACCCTCTGGGTTTGCTTGCACAGAAAGGGTGGAAGTGATCTCCAGCCCGTTATGGTCAGCAGGCAGTGTGATGCAGGCATCCGAGGCTCAGTCCCCCAGGAATAGCCCACCCACGGACACACACAGGTGCAGCCTGAGCATCTCAGCTTCAGAGTGCTCCTGACCTCCTTGCTACTTACTCGTCAGCCTGCCTGGCCCCTTCCACTTGTGTGCACGCTGCTGTTTCCTCATTACAGGTGGACGTGGCTCCTCCGCTCACACCCAATCCAGGCATCTGATTTGGCACCACCCTGAAACACAGGACGGCGTGGATTAATGCGCAGCAGGACTCTGCCCTCGCCTCACATCAGTTTTGAAAACACACCTCCCACTTTACAGCCGATGATGATAAAGTCCACCCCGCTGCTCTCCAGTGCTTATCTCTACCAATCTGCTTTGAACTCTGAGAGCCTTGTCCTTCGGGGAGTGGGGGGCGAGGGCATTCACTCAGTAGCCTTTGCCCACCCCATACCCGTAAAGCCCTGGGTCTTACAAAGTTAGCAAGCAGGTAACCCTGAAAGTGCAATACCCCCTCTTCTTGTCACCTCCCTGCTGCAGGGCTGCGTGCTGCCATGCCCGCTCCTGGGATTGCTAAAAGCAGACAGCACAGCAGAGGTGGACATTCGCCTGATTCATGGAGCCTCTGGTAAGGTCCCAATTACGTTTCCAGATTGTGACTGGGCTTAGATTCATGCTGCAGCCTTTACTAACACCAGTTGCTCAGGTGAGCTGGCAGTGCGATGCGACTGCTCAGCTATCAAGCCTTTGTTAGTCACAAACGGCCCTTTGCTCACAGGGTCTTCATCATTTTAGCTTGGTGGAATGACTTCTCAAGCCCCAGGAGTGTGCAAGGCTAGCATTTAAACCAGTAATCATTTATGCTGAGTGGGGTAAACCTCAAGTTGAGTCACATTTTATGGCAGAGCCATTCCTTGAAGATATGAAGCTCCTCCCAGCCAGCAAATGAAAGCTCTCCAACTCTGAGGGAGCTTCCCATCTACAAACACACCAAATATATGTGAAGCTTTCCAATCAAAGAGCAGCAAGCTGGTAACAAGCTACCATGCTTCAGGGTGGTTGATTTTTTGTTTTTAAACAAGCCTCTGCACAAGGGCTGAATACAAGAGCAGCTGTCGTACCTCAGCTCATGCAGCCCAGAAGACTTTTATGCAATTAAAAGGCATTCTTTGGCAGAGCAGATAAGCAGCACAGCAGAATGGCAGTAACTGAAGCTAATGGCCAGGACGCCCTTTGTACCACAGCACCTTTCTGAAGCAGCAAGGAAGGGAATTTGCATTTAAAAATGCACACATCCAGGAATCCATCACACAAGATCTACTTTGTTCTACTGTGACAAATGCCAATGGGTTTAAATTATTTATATACTACTCCGGCAGTGAGATGAACGTCTTGCAGATTTTAAACAAGTAATGAAACAAGCCCGAGTGCTATGAAATCTTGTTAAAGTTAGCATTTCTGATGACAACATGTACTGCAAGTAGAACCAGGTGGCGGGTTAGCAGGGTGGGCTTTGCAAGAAGGAAAAACCAATTAACTGTGGAATTTTCTGCAGGAAATATCCCCATTAAAACCAGAGTTGTTAGCCCTTCAGAGGAAAAATATTGTCTCTGGAAGCTAAGTTGCACTGCAAAGCATTGGAAGTTGAATTCTCAGTTTAGCTAAAACAGCACCCTTTATCCCCAACGTAAGCTATATAAGCAAACAAGTAGGTTTGTTTTACAGTCAGCAGGGAAATACTTAGAGATATCAGCTTAAAATGATTTAGCAGAAACATTTAATGATGATATGTTCAGGAAAACTATCCTGAACTTACTTGAACTGAAAAAGAAAAATAAATTTAAAAAATATTAGCTCAAAATAAACATCTTTAGCAATTAAAAACAACAACAACAACAATAATAATAAAAACAACAAACAGAGCAAACAACAACACCTCAAAAGTGTCTAAGACTATCTAAGGATATTCTTCCCCGATCTGCATGTCCCCAGTCACATGTATAAGCCCCAAACCTGAACAAAATAATAGTACCTATCCCCTTGCATAGCCTCAGCAGTCGGTATAGTCTGCTTAAAAGGAGGCTGGGGAAGGCTTCATTCCTACCCTTTGCAGGGTTTGCTTCCTGAGCTCTTGTAGTTTGCCTAGAGAGCAGCAGCAGGAAGGGGAATTAGCAAGAAAGGAGAAAAAAAACCACATGATTTCATTAGCTTCATTTTGCAGTTAGGTAAACATGGTTGTGTCTTAGTTATGCAGATTTTAAAATAAAAGGGACTTTTTATAGGGAGAGTATAAAATGGATATGGGGGAGAGGTAGGAAACTGTCGGAACAGAGCATGTTATCACTGACTGTAAGAAAAGGGTTGTAAAAAGGAGAAGAGTATCTCAGAGGGAGGGAAAGGGAAAAGAGAACGTACAGGAAAAAGACACAAAAAAGCAAGCTGTTTTAAGAGGTGTTGGATAGGAAAAATAATGCACTTCCTTGCACAACTGAAGCGCTCGTGTTAGCCAGACCTGCTAGAGAGGCCAGAGCCTTACGTAGCTGTCTGGGTGCTACCAGGTGCTGAGGCACCAGTTACCTGCCTCACCCACCGCAGCAAGTGCCAGGGCAACAGCCTGTCTGCAAGGCTGGGCTATCTTGTGAGGGCTGTGCTCCCTTCACCAGAGCAGACAGCCTGACCTGCTGGGGCAAACCTGGTTCTGGAGAGCTTAAATGATTCAAAGGGCAGGGTGCTTAAAAATCTGTATAGGGCACCTGTGTTCCTAATGTGTGCCAGGGCTCAGGACTGCCCTCCTGTGCAGCCTGCTCATAAAGGGCGAGCAAAGCAAGAAAAGCTGAATTTATTTCTTTAATATACCTTTATTGGGCTCATTAGCATCTCTTCAGCCCTGATGGCATTGAAGGGGAACACAAAACCCATACCATACTGTTCTGATAGAGACTTCCCGTGCTCTTGCCTCTGCGTGGTGGTGTTTGCTAGGCAGGTGCACTGTGTTGGTTCACGTGGGTGTAAGCTGGGTACTTAAAACCAAGGCTTTCTTAGTGTCACGGTTGCTGCTGTGAAGGAAACAACCATCAAACCCATCACAAGTTCCTCCACACAAACACTTCGGTCTGTGGTGGCTGGTCCTTAGTTTGTGTCTGTAATGCTGCTGTGGGAAGCAGTGACCAAGGTCCCTCAAGATGTGGCACCGCAGCTGCCCCTAGTGCTGGGCCTCTGTCAGGTTGGTTATGGGTTGGGGTCTTTTCTTTCCGTTCTCCTGAGGCACAGCTATGGCCTTGAGGAATAAACCGATGGATGTGATAACAGCAAAGGTGTTTTGCTGTACCTGAGGTAGCCCGGAGTATTTTAGAAGTGGCAGCCAGGAGAATTTGCAGCAGTGCCCCATGCCTGGGTTCCTGTAACTCAGCGGGTGACAAACAGCTTTGCACGGCCCAGCACGGGGTGGATGTTATCACAGGTTGTCCAAAGTCCGCGGGGCAGTTGCATGCCAATGGGTAAACAGAAAGCATTGCTGAGGGGAAAGGGGAAGGTCCTGAGGCTCGCTTGCAGCAAGCGCAGAAAACACGTACTGGGGAGCGTGGTGTTGTCACGGGGACACTGAGCTGGGCTCCCTCCACCAGCAAGCACTTCGCCCTCCTTATCTCCCCTGATTCTCCCTGCGCTGGGGCAGTATCTGCAGTGCCAGGATTTGGGCTATTCATTCATCATGTGTGCGTGGGGCCGCAGCCCTTGTCTGAGGGGCTGCTGCTCCCCCGTAGGGCTTTGGCAGGGGCTCTGCAGAGCTCAGGGGCAGCAGTGTTGCCCCCCACGTACTCCACCCTCTTGTGGCTTTGGCCTCCTCAGGGGTTTTCTCCAGGGGAAGCCTGCCTGTCACGGCATTGCTCCATATCCCTGGCTATGCCAGTGCCTCCGGTTCAGCCCACACACGCATCTGAGTAGGCAGGCTGGGAAACCAGGGTGGGACCCTGCACTGTGACCTTGTCCTCACCCGCACTGTGCCCTGAGTGCGGCGCCATCCCTTCCCCAGGGGCTGTGCTCCTGCCAAGGGGCACCAAGTCACCCCCGCCACCTTCCCTAGGCACCTGCTGAATACCATAGGAGATAATGAACTGCTAACCTCTCGCACTAGAAGGGATAAATTCCCTTATAAGAAACGTGGATAAAAGAGTTCAACCTCATTAGCAATTAGCCTTGCTCTTTCCCTACCTGGACAGTCTCTTATGTTAAAATACTTCAGCTGGGTTTCAGCTCTGTGCACGAGTCGCAACTTTAGTGACAGTAAAGGTGAGGCTTAAACCCTGATTTAACTTTTTTTGCTGCAGGTTCATATGGCACAAGCACGTTATCTGGTATTTGCTCTCCCCATCTCAGTTGTGCTCACTGCAGTACAAAGGCAAAGACAAGACCTGTGCCAGGCAGGAGACACCAGTTTGCAGCAAGCACCAGAAGCTGACAAAACTCACAAATCCCTAAGTATAAAGCATCTTCCAAGAAGGGGGGGGCTGAGAAACTTTGTTTCCTAACACATAGCATGTATATGTTAAACCACATCTGTTTCCAGAAGAAGACAAGC